CTCATTCACATCATGGGGGTGGATAGCCAGGTAGGTAGAGTGAAGAGTGTATCCTTGAGAGAGGGGGCAGGCCCACCACCATCAGGGATGAGGCTTCTAGAAGCTGAGCTGCTGACAAAAGCACAGAAACAGGAGTCGCCTGAAGACATATGTGGGCTGAAGAGAATGTTAAGATAGAACTGCTGGTTGTGGTGGCACACATCTGTGATCCCAGCTACTCCAGAGGCTGAAGCAGGAAGATCACAAGTTCAAGGCCAGTTGTGCAACTTACCTAGACACTGTCTCAAAATTTAAATTAAAAATGCTTAAGAGGTCTGGAGATGTAGTTTAGTGACAGAAGTCTGTGACTGTTAAGGGGAGTTTCGGGGAGGAGATCTGGCCACAAAAGGAGGCACCTGAGGAGAAGAGGGCCTCTGCCCAGGACCTTGCCAATGATGCCTCTTGGGCACCAGTCTTGTGTTGGAGTAGCAGTTTTGCTCAGAGGAGAGACTGGTCTGGTGAAGAAGGGATGGTCACAGCAGCAGGTGTGGATACAGCTGCAGGTGGGGCTGAAAGCCTGGTGATGAAAGGCTCCAGAGCTTGTTCTCGAGGTAGGCAGCAGTGACTTCTTGAGAGCGGGGAAGGATAACTGGCCAGAGGTTGGAAAAGGCTACAGAGAGGAGCTGCTCTGTTTATAGAAACCTTGCAGGACTCCCAGACAGGGTATAGTTTTTTTCTTGTTACTTCTATTCCCTAAGATTTTTTTTCTCTCTTTAAAAATTCTCATCAGAATTCCATCCAAGATGTGCGTTAAAACATTTTTCTCCCCAAATGACTGTGCTCCATCTACTGAAAATCATTTTGAGTTCAATCTATTGAAAGATAAGGAAGCTATTATAGTGGAAGATGGCCACTGGGTTCAGAAAGCAAAGAAGGGTGATAAAAATATGGATGCCCATGCATGATTTTTTTTATAAAGGAAAACTATATAAAGATTCACTGGATTTTTGGAGGTACTGACGTCTGCAAGTCTTAAAGAATTATAGTATCAACAAAAAGTCTGTAAAACTAAAGAGAATTTGGAAAGAGCTATCATCTTTTTTTTATTCCTTTACATTAGAAGAAATGACCCAATCTGATCTTAACCCATTTATGCTAAAGGTTGAAATATTTTTTAGTTTTTGCATAAAATTTGTGTTACCTAGAAAAATTCAAGGAACAAGAATTTGATGAGAAAATGTTTTATTATGGTCCATTGTTATGTACCATTCCAAAAATGGCACCCTAGGCATAAAAGGATGAAAATTCAGTGTCCCATTGATTCTTACAGTAGTGTTTCCTTTGCTGAAGAATATTTTTAATTAATTTTTAACTAAAAAACACAAAATTGTACACATTAATGTACATAATGTCCATATGATCCTTCAATGCATGTATATTTTTGTGTGATCAGGTTAAATGTATCTATCTCCTCAAACAAGGATCACTTCTTTATGGCAAAATTGTCCTAAAATACTTCCCTCTAGCTTTTTGAGCTGTATATTGCTATATATAGTCACATTCCAGCAGCACCCAGAATTCTTACTGCTATATAAATGCAACTTGGTTCTCACTGGTCAACCTCCCCCCATCTCTCCTTCTCCCTACTCTCCCTGCCTCTGGTAACCAGCATTGTTTTTTTGACTTTTACAAAATCAACTTTTTTTATATTCCACGTGAGTGAGGAAGATCATGTTGCACTTGTCTTTCTATGTCCGACTTGTTTCACTTAACTTAATGGTCTCTAGTTCCATCCATACTGTCACAAATGACAGGATTTTATTTTTAATGGCTGACCGGTATTCCATTATGTACCACATTTTCTTTATCTATTGAATAGGTTGTTTCCATGTCTTGGCTATTGTGAATAGTGTTGCGGTATACATGGGAGTACAAGTGTCTCTTTCCATGCCGATTTTTCTTTGGATAAATACCCAAGATTGGGATAGCTGGATCATATGGAAATTCTATTTTTAATTTTTGAGGAATCTCTATATTGTTTTATGATGGCTATAATAACTTACATTTCCACCAACAGTGTGCAAGAGTTCCTTTTTCTCCACATCCTTGCCAGCACTTATTATCTTTCACCTTTCTGATAATAACCATTTTTACTGGAGTGAGGTGATACTACATTATGGTTTTTATTTGCATTTTTCTGATGATAGGTGATGTTGAGCATTTTTCACATATCTGTTGGCTGGCTCACTTAAGAAATACTGTACCTACTTAGAGCTACTGACTATATTTAAATCAAGGTCTTTCTTTCTTTTGCTATTGAGTTTTGGGAGTTCTTTTGTATACTGTGTAAATATTTTCTCCCGCTCTGTATGTTTTCTCGTCTCTCTGTTGACTATTTCCTTTGTTGTACAGAAGCTTTCTACTTTAGTATAATCCCATTTGTCCATGTTTGTTTTTGTTTCTTGTGCTTTTGGGATCTTGCCCAAAAAAATCATTGTGCGTTCCAATATCCTAAAGCATTTCCCCTAGGATTTTGTTCTAGTAGCTTCATTATTTCATGTCTTACATTTGATCTGTGTATCTATATACAAGTTATGCCAATACCAGTTGTCTTGATGACCTTAGCTTTTTAACCATTTTGCAATTAATTGCAGATAAAATAAATTTTCCCCTCAAATCATTGTGTTACAAGTGTCTTCTACATTCAAAGCCTGGGGGAACCAAAACTCACCTCAAAAAACAGCAGTTTCCCAGACAACCTCTTCTTGTCGGCTGCCTGCAGGATAAAGGACAGGCCAGCTGAGTTGTTCTGGGTATGTGCAGCCCCACCCAGCTGGCTACAGCTCCTGTCTTCTCACTCTGAGACTGCTGGGGTCAGGGCAGAGCTGTGCAGCTTCTGTGATGCTCCATCCTCTTGAGGAACAATCTCTTGAAAACTGTCTCCTGGAACATGTCAAATCCCTGCAGTTAGGGAAAGCATCTGAGATCTACAACAGACTCAAGAAGAACTATTAGGGGAGGAAAGAGGATGCTACTACGTAATGACACTCAGTTAGCACCTTAATGAGCTTTTCTAAGCCACGTATGCAGCCACATTTGCTGATGAAAACGCACTCCATTCCAAAGGTAGTTGCCAAAATGCCTCTCATATCTAGAGAGAACAGAGTGTATTTACAACCAAGGATACCTTGGAAACTGGTGAACTGCGAGGCAGGTGGCACTGGCTGCTGTTTTGACAAAAGCACCAGGGTGATCTCACCTGAGAAACCAGGGGATTGCCCATCTGGAATGCCACCTGTCCTCTTTGCACTTGTCCCTTCAATGAGGGGGAGAGGGTCCTGAGAAGTACCTGAGATCCCCACACTAGTCCTGCTCTGACAATTAGATATTTCTGGGGAAAAGGGGTCATAGGAAGGGGCTTACAGTCTGGCTGAAGAGCTCACTTCAATGAACCAATTCCAGGCATCTTTTTCCTGCCATTGGCTGGGAACTGTCTTGAGTTCACCTATCATTTCCTATAGGATTCTATGTGGAGAAGCCAATATCACATAGTGCAAGGCTCCTCACTTCTTTATGCTTTTTGTTCAACTGTCTCATAAATTGGTTGTTTCACATAATATTATTACACTCTAGAAGGTCCAAAGCTACACCACCAGTGAATACCGGACTCAAACCAGCCCACTTAATTCCAAAGCCCAGGCTCTTTCCTCAATCTAACCACTGAGCCCAACCCACTAGCCACACCTCCTCTGCCAAAAGTCAGGTCCAGTCAGCACTGGACATTTGGTTTTTTAACAAATTGAAATTAATTTGCTGTGAGAATCCACAGACCCATGAAATAATGGAGAGGGCCCAGGTTCAACAAGCCTATATTTAACACGGAGGGTAATGAATTTTGCAGGGATGCAGCCCATCTCTGTATCTCTGATCACCAGCCCAGAAGAGTTGTCTGGTTGCTCAAGTAGCTCAAACTCAGTCCTGGATGCCAGAGCTCTACCCACATACTGCGGCCAGGCCAGCTTTCAGCTCTGCCCACAGCCAGGGGAGCCAGGACATCAAGGACGGCTGCTTAGCAGAGGAACTTCGGAAACCAGAGAAGCCCAGAGCCTGGGAGCACAGCGAGCCCAGAGAACCACAACTGCAGCAATCCTGGATGGCAGAAAGGAGAGATGGATGGGGTCTGGAGCACCACTGAGATGTCCTTGCTTCAGCCTTTCTGGATAGACCCAGAGGAAGGCTTCCTGCCTCTTGCCCTCATTGCTACCACGCAGATAAGCTTGCAGAATCCTGGAATAACCCGGCTTGGGAAAAGCAAAAGTTTCTCCAGATTGCTGGGACGCCTGAATTTCCAGTTTCTTTCTGACCCATACTAGGATCTGGGTGGCCACCGCACGCGTTCCAGCCCTCTGCCTTTGAGCGTTTAGGGTGCGCGGTCTCTGAGAGACTCCAGCGTCCGGCTCCAAGCCCGGCCTCGCTTTCTCCGCAAGCCGCCTCCCCTTGAGGCCGTGGCCCCCACAATACCCTCGGATTTCATCTTGATCTTTTGCACTGTGTAGAAGAGCTCCATTCCAGGACCCCCACAGGGTGGCAAATCGGCCTCTGTGAGGCGGATTTTGCGCGGGCGGGGCTCCCTAGGGAAAGGGGGAGCAGTCATTGGTCGGGATTCCCCAAGCCAAACCCTGGAAGCCTTTGGGGACAGGTGGAGCAGCGAAGGAGGAAGCTGGGACCTAGGAGATTTCTGGGACCCTAGATTCTTGCAACTAAGGCAAAGAATGATACCGGAACCCTTGACCCAAACCAGGGCCGCACTGGGAGTGGGAATAACAGAGGCGGGCGCGTCTGGGGGGCGCGTCAGGACCAGGACTGGGTGGAAAGCTGACCCAGGGGCGGGGACACGGACTTTTGCCCTCAAAGGCTGGCAGGGGAGGAGGCTCTGTGCTGACAACTGAAGCTTTGTCCCGATGGCATTTAAAGGGCAAACGTGAGGCTGGGCTGTTCGCACCTTTGCCTGGGGAGCACCCATGAGTTTCGCTACAGAGCAACCGGCCCAGGCCCGGGAGCGGCTAGACTTGGCTGGATACTGTGAGGGCCTAGGCGCCTGCTCGGTCCCACATGGCCAGGCACGGTCCGTCGCGCACCAACCGGGCTATGTGCGCGGCGATTTGGGAGCTGCAGGCGGGGGGCCGCGCCTATGGATGAACGCGCCCTCGCTCAGCCCTGCGCCCTACGCGTCGGGCCCGGGGACCACACCGTCCTATGCAGCGCCTGGCTATGCGGCCCCGGGCCCGCTCCTCGGAGGCGCGGGCGGGCTGGCGGGCCCCGACCTTACCTGGCTGACCCTCTCCGGCCAGCAGGAGTTGCTGAGGCTGGTGCGACCGCCCTACTCCTACTCTGCGCTCATTGCCATGGCCATCCAGAGTGCGCCCCTGCGAAAGCTGACGCTCAGCCAAATCTATCAGTACGTGGCCGGAAACTTCCCTTTCTACAAGCGCAGCAAAGCGGGCTGGCAGAACTCCATCCGCCACAACCTGTCTCTCAACGACTGCTTCAAGAAGGTGCCCCGAGACGAGAACGACCCAGGTAACCGCTGAGGGCCCTCTTGGCCTGTCCACAGCTGCCCACCGCGGGCACTTTAGGACAGCACAGTGCCTCACTGTACAGTCGGAGCTACTCGGGCGGCGAGGTGGGGGGCAGAGGCGCAGAATGCCCCGGAACCGCGGACCCTGATTTCCTGTCTAGTGCTCCTAGGGGCACTAAATTTTTGCGCGTTCCTTTGGAAAGAGAAGCTGGAGAACCCGCCAGCTGGGTAACCTTGGGAATTAACATCTCTGAGCCTCGATGCACTTCCCTGTAAAATGGGAAGACAATGCCCACATAGAGGCATTGGGCAACGTCAGAGCCTTCAGAGGTGAGGTGTGGTCAGCTCCGCTCCACTAGCAGAATCCAGTTCAGCGTCTCTCGGGCCTTCTGTCCAGGGCCTCGAACTTAGCGGGGCTACGCAGGAGTCCCTGTCTTGGTCCTTCTGGAATGTCCAAATTCTTGCAGTTTGTCTCGAAGGCCTATCCCGGGGACAAAGTGCCACCTCAAGATTTGGGATGGGGATGAGGGCTCTTGACCCTCTGGAGGAGAGGGTTAGGTCCGCCAATACTGGGCTTTCTGAATGGGCTCTTTCTCTGCAGGTAAAGGCAATTACTGGACCCTGGACCCCAACTGCGAGAAGATGTTTGACAATGGGAACTTCAGAAGGAAGAGGAAGCGAAGAGGGGAGGCAAGCGTGGCCTTGCCTCCAGGAGCCCAAAGCCCAGGCGGAGGGAAGACGCTGGCGTCCTCGGAGCCCCCAGGAGCAGCCTCCCCAGACCTGCAGGCCTCGCCGACCCCGCCCGAGCCCGAGCCTGCCGCCTGCTTCTCCAGCTTTTCTTCAGCCATGGGCGCCCTGGCCGGCGGCTTTGACACCTTCCCCAGGACCCTGGCGCGAGACTTTTCTTTTGGGAGGCCAACGACGGTAGCCACCCGCAGCCCTCAGACCCCTGGCTCTGCACCCAGCTTTGGCCCTGGCCATCAGACGGCAGCCACCAGCTTTCGCGTTAGTCACTTTGTCTACAGCCTGGAAGGAACTGAAGTTTGAAAGAGGCCGGCCAGGGTGCTGGATCCAGAGGCGCTGAGCTCAGACCCCTGGATTCTGCCTGGTGACAGCCCCAAGGCTTGTTAGCACCACAGCCATTAGTGCCTCAGGAGGAGGCGCAGGACCCCGCTGGTCAGCATTGCTGGGAGCTGAGCTGAGCGATGACTCTGCAGGTGGCCTGCTGCGTACCCTTCATCCATTCAAAGGCTGACTGGCTCCAAACCTGGATCCAGCCCACCTGGGCTTTCCAATCTGCATTCTGGAGGAATCCTTCTTAAAGGGACCCTGGATGGGAAGGTGCTCAGCTCCATTCCCATTTATATTTACTGAGAAAGTATCTTTGAGACAGGCAAGAAACCCACAGTCACTGGGGAGAGGAATTTTGGACTCTGTACTTCCCAAAGCTATTGTGAGCCCCAGTCTGCCGACCTGGGTCTTTGTGGCATCGGGCACGCCAGGGTGGGGAGGAGGTTGTGCCCAGGAAGAGGCACTGCCCTGGAAGAGAGTAGAGAGAGGACGCCTTTAATTTGGAGTAGGCCTTTTGGGAGCCTATCTGCTTCCACCCAGTGGTGTAGGTTTTCCTTGGTTGATCACAAATCTGACCACTGGGTCCATCGCTGCCAACATTTATACTGTATGGAGCCTGGCAGGTGGTTGGATAGATCAAGCCAGAGCCGGGGTGAATTGGATCCTGATCACATAATTCCAGTGTCCCCTAGTGGCAGCAGTGCCGCATACTCTTTGGTGTGGCATCCACGCTTCTGCCTGCCATGAGGGCTTGAACAGTGTGCTGGTTGTTTGGGTGCTCATAATGTTACCTAGCCCAATTTATAACCAACCCATAATCTCTCTCCAAATACAGTTAATTTTAAAGATCCACTAAAAAAGAAATTCCTTAGTTTATAAATAAAATATTTTTATCTTTTGAACCTACTTTTAAATAAAAATAAGCACCAATATGTGTAGCTATAACAATCCAACTATTATCACCAGCATCCCTAGTTTAGATCCTGCCTTTCTAAGAAAGTTGGAAAGAATTTTTTAATTAAATTTTATAACAATGGGAAATTTGACAATCAATAGAGTTTTCACAAAATTGATTTATAAGATATATAGATAGCTATATATGTGCTATAATTTGATATTCCTTTTCTCCTAACAATAGAGATACTGTTAAAATTGAGGGAGAACACTTTAAAAAAAAATCTTTCAACTTTTGGTTTGCCTAAAAAATCAACTTTGGATGTTTAAAGATTGTTCAGCCATTCAAATCTTTATCAAACTAATAACTACATCAAATAGATGAAATCTTTACAAGGAAGCATAATTAAAAATAATCCCAGTAGGGCCAGGGATTTAGCTCAGTGGTTTTGCCGCCTGCTGCACAAGCGCAAGGACCCAAGTTTGATCCCTGGTACCAAAATAATAATAATAATAATAATAATAATAATCCCAGTAGTGCAGGGTATTTAGAAAATGATAGAGCCAGATTCC